GGAGTAGATCTGCTCTTTGCAGACAATATCAATGTTCAAGGAACTAGGACTAGCTGTTAATGAACCTCCACAAATAACTTCGCTATACTCCGCCTCAAACACCATCATTATTTCAAGGTCAGAAATGGGCGAAAAAGGAAAAGACATAACTATGAAAGATGGTTGCTCATCCGCCTTAGGCTCGTCGACCCTAACAAGAGACATTGGTTCAACGTCATCCCGATCAAGTATTTCGACAATCGCCACAGAATCACCCAAACTCTTCAGGATGCATGCATCACTAAGCACCTCAACACCAAAATCTTCCTCTTGACTCGTTTTAGTCTCCTCCTTGATAGAGGAAATCTATTTTAAAGGCTGGGTCCAGTTTTTTTCTTGGGCCGCTAAAACTGTTTCACTCTCAAGCTCTTTTTCATCTTGGATCTTTTGCTTGGCCCACCCAATTCAACCCTTCCCGGGCTTTTTTTCTTCATGGCCTCCTTGCTTGTCCCGACATGTTCAACCCATTTCCCTTTTTCTTCTCTTGTAAACCTTCGGTTACCCAATGGACCGAGCATCGATGATGGCCTGTGGAGTTAAGCCCAGCGAATTCAGTACCTACCTTGTGACCATCCGGGTAAAGCCCTAATTGCGCTTTTCGAGCCCAAGTTGGGTTTGGGAGCTTCTGCCTACCCAATTAGTAGTCAAGAACTCGCCTGTAAAGCCTCAACAAACGTTTTCCCTCCAACCGGTACTGCCACCAGTTGAAAACCTTGTTTGCACTAAGGGGAGCAAAGAATCGCCAGCGTGGAAGGAAATAATATGGGACTTGAGTCTCCTGACATAAGAGGTTTAGGCAAAGTACCTCTCTTTTCTAGATGGAATGGCGGAATTTCTGTGAGCTCGAAGATGGATTTCATCATTCTCCACCAACCGCCAACCTCGACACCTTGAGGGATAAATATTCTGTTGAACATCTTGCCTTTTTGTTCGGAAAAAACTAAGAAACGCCCGCATCTATTCCAACACAGAGCTAACCAAAGTGTGTGCTTTTGACCCTTTGTTCTTTCCTCAAGTAACGCTGCCCTTGTCCAATAGAAGTCACTAAGCGCATCAACAAGCTAGCTAACGTCCTCTTTGTCTAAAGAGATAAAAACTCTGAATCCCTTGCCATTTTCGCAAATGCGTAGGCCATTAATATCTTTCCCATCATAACCAACATTGAAGGACTTCCTATCAATGCAGATAAGCTTTTTGGTTTAGTCCCACAACATCAAGTTTTTTGGTTTTCAATTGATCTTACCATGAGCGCCCTTTCCGATCGTTCAAAGGACACCTTGGCTTAGTGTGACCTCTTACAGTTTTACGAACAGGTTCATAGAGAGAGAGGCGAGAAGAGAGAAGAGAGAAAGAGAGAAGAGACAAGAGAGAAAGAGAAGAGAGAAAGATAAGAGAGAAAGAAAAGAACAAAAAATTCGTCAAGAGTTGTATTTTTTTCATATAGCTTCCTTTTTACATGTCACCAACATTATCTTCAACATTTCTTTTATCAGGACCAGTGACTTGTGCATCTCGCAAATTTTGAATTGGTGGAACAACCTATGCAATGCACCTCATAGTTCTTCCAAGATTGCATCTATTGTGTTTTACATTGTTTCGAGTCTAATATTTGGTTGCTACCTCATATACATCTTTCCTAGCATTTAATTCAATAGTAGTTCCCATTATTGAAGTTCAGATTTCTTGTAAAACTAGTCTATTTGAGGTGGGAACCAATCAAGGGACCCGATCTTGTCAAACTTAGAGCTAGGAAATTCAAACAAAATAGATTGAGCAACCCTTCTTGCAGAAGCGAGCATGTATGGCTCATGTGTCGACTTTTGGTCACCATATAACGACGCACTTCCGCCGATCAACTTGATTAAAGGTGGAGGTTGTTGATTGGCTAGCATGAGATGACTACTCTGAATTACTGAATCGAGAGAGGCAGCAACTAAGAGAACTTGCAACAGGAAATGGTGCATTTGTTGGCAGAATTTTGCAGTAGGGCTTTTGGAGTCTATTGATAGGGATATTTCAAGGTTGGTGGTAAGGGTTGTGTCACTAACTGCCTGTCGATGGTTGGTAAGTGGACTAGCAGCAGTTTTAGGGTTTATGCTTTGTCTGATTTTTTTTTTCATGTGTTTGGGGCTATTTGCATTTAAGGTTTGAGATTTTATGGTGTAGGATGGTTTTAGCTCTGAGACCAAACTAATTTAAGAGAAATTAGGATTAATTTGTCAACATAGAATTTGGGAACAAAAATCTAGATATCACATTAATGATTCTTATAAATATCATGCCCAAGATTTGATTGAATACAAAATCAAGTAAAAGAAATTTCTTAGACTATGTAGTTAAATAATTGAAGGACCCAAGGAGATCATAAAAGTACTTATAGAGTGCCAAGGAAGACATTCCCAAGTAGGATTGACTAAGAAATAGTAAGACTAATAAGATTAAAAGCATATTCCAATAAGATAGGAAGTACTAATACTAGTAAGAAAATAAATATTACTCCTAATGAAAAAAGGAAAACAAAATATAAATAAACTGGAAAACATAAAAATAACCTATATAGTACATTATTGTTGATGTACTATGCCAATGCATTATCAATGTGTCTATATAAGACCCTATTGTGAGAAATTTGGAAAAGAGGTTGGTTGGATAGAGGAGGAACTATTTGTCTAAGAGGGGCAGGCTCACACTCATTGGAAGTGTGTTGTCTAACCCTTATTCATTTCTTTTCTTTGTTCTCCATCCCTTTTATGGTTGCTAAAAATTTTGAAATATTTCAACCTCAGTTCTCAGGAGGTCATGAGCAGATGAAATTCCATTTGGTTACTTGGAGTGTCATGTGAAACAATATTTGTGGTCTGACAGTTTGGGGATTAGATCTCATGTTACTTTTAGAAAAGCTCCTCTATGCAAGTGAAAATGGAGATTTCTTTCTAAGAAGGATACAATTTGGTAGAATTTTCAAAGTGCAAAGTTTAGGATGCATGTTAATGGTTGGCATCCCAAGTTGGATAAAGGCACTCAGAGTTGCCATTAAAAGTTGGAGAGAGGCATCCCAAGCCCACAGTGATGAGTTAATAAGAATTGGCGCATAGTTCTTCAGTAAATGCAATTCACAGTTGGCAATGGTTCTTATATTAGATTTGACATGACCTTGGTGCTCCAAAAGCTTATTGAAAGACTCGTTTCATGCGATTCTATTAGTTACCATATTCAAGGAGGTTAGTTATCCAATGCTATTTGAAGATAATTAGCCACCCTACTAAATATACAAAAAGTTTCACCAAAATGTCAAATTACCATAATTGGAAGGCAACCAACCGTTTAGATCATCTTCAATAGCATTCTTATAGCAAAGTCTAATTTGACCAAAAACAACAGTCATTACTGGCTTATAAAAAAGATCACCAACTTAGATACTTCACAATCAATATTCAAGGAGGTTAGTTATCCAATGCTACTTGAAGATAATTAGCCACCCTACTAAATATATAAAAAGTTTCACCAAAATGTCAAATTACCATAATGGAAGGCAACCAACCGTTTAGACTCATCTTCAATAGCATTCTTATAGCAAAGTCTAATTTGACCAAAAACAACAGTCATCACTGGCTTATAAAAAAGATCACCAACTTAGATACTTCATGGTCATCTTATATAGTTTTGTACACCACATCATAGCAAAGAGTAGTTATGCAATGCCATAGAAATTAGCCATAGAAATTGCTCACTTGATTTACTTTAGGGGCAACTGAACCAGATGGTTGATTTGCAGTGGGAGCCTGAAGCAATGGAGCAATCATTGTACCACTGCCAGCCAAAGGAATTGGCAAGAAAACACCAGAAACTGGAGCCGCAGTGTGAAGAGGAACTGCACTAACAGACGCCATGTTGCCTATTGGGAGGACCGCAGGTAGAGCAAATCCAACTGAAACTATTGACTCAGCCGGTTGATCCCACTTTCTCTTTTTCCTGCACCAAAAGAAGAATTGATAAATCTTAGCAGCATTTAATTAAGGAAAAACCCAAGTTCAAAAAGAAAAATTTCTGCAATTCCTAAGCCAAACACCACAACAACTATGATGGCAGCTCTCAATACAAGAGACGCCGCCACCATATGAATAACCTAACCCAAAATTAAACTCCTCAAACATTGAAGGCCAAAAAAACCAAATGAATCATCGCCAAAAACCATTATACAACATCGACACAATGAACAAGCTTAGGATCGGATCAACAAGCTAAGAACAACAAGATTAATCAATCAATACGACTAATATTTGTATCATATACGAATTGCTAACTAACGAAAAAGAAAACCAATACTACCTCTGCCTTGTTTGGGAAGCACCATTCGTCAACGTGGATTCATCCGAAGAAACCCTAGCTCCACCGTCCTCTGTCATTACTCCCTCCAGAAAATCTGCCACAAAAATCTGCAGATTCCGGTTTTTTCTTCTTTGCCTTCGAGGAGATGGGGCAAAACAATTGAAATCGAGACGGAAGAATACCGCGATGGATGCCAAGAAGCTGAAATTTGCAGGAGTGGATGGGTTTGGAGTTTCGATTGGTTGGTGGTACGGAAGGTCAGGCGTCAAGGCTCTTTCTCTTTTGCCCTTTCCCGGTTGGGTACTTCGGATTAAGGTGTGGTCACGTGAGAAGAGGACGAAAATCTGATCACGTGATGCTATTGAACCTCCTAGCCTTCAATTTCGATGTAACTTATATTTTTCCTGGACTAATTTTAACAGTGCAACTATACATATTACATTGACCCAAATGTTAGAGATCAATATAGAAAGAATGAATGTATTAACTTATCTTAAGGAGAAAGAGAAAGAGACAAAAGACAAGAGCATGGTCACTTAAAATCTGGCCCAAATAGAATAAACTAGATAAAAGAGATAAAACATGAATAAAGGTTGTGCAAAATCATATTCGAACTACAAAACTAAATACTAAAACACCAAACGAATAGATAATACGAAAATAGTATTATGTAAAATCTAGTTTATACCGAAAAAATTAAACAGTCTAAACTGGATCAGGCTAATACGGTACAATCCTCAATCCTAATATGTTGGAATAAAAAAATTTATCTCTTCCGATCTGAACCAATAATTTGAAAAAAAAAAAAAAGAATCACATATACTATATATATGATTTAAGTAAAAAATAACAACCATATTGCCAAAAAAGAGTCATTTTGAAATGTCTCTCCTCTTAATGAGACATGTGTTGGGCTTTAATCAACTAAGTGAACTTATATGTGAGTTTATTGTATGCATTAAAGACTCTGAAATTAATTGGATTCAGCTTAAAATGAATGGTTAAAGTTAAATAGATATTAAATTTTAATACATCGAATAATTATATATTTTTATGTATAGATATCAAAAATCATTATTTCTAATTTAATTATTTGTCAAATTATAAATAAAAACTTAATTATATACATAGTCGGTTATATTCCACAAATTACATATA